TAATTTCTACATTGCTCTTTATCACCTTTCATTGGAATAGATAGACAGAGCTATGGGTTTCTTTCAGTTCATGGATCAGGTAGGTAGCTGTCTTCTAAACTCCTTGATAAATACAAGCAAATGTTTTCAGCGTTGCATTTGTTGGTTGAAGCATCTCGATTGCTGTCTCACCCGTTTCTGGAGACTTGTTTTTCTCTGGTGCCTTTTGTGAAATTTGAATGTTTTCCTTTGATACCAGCTGTACTTGATCGTGTGCTACCTTTTGAAGTGGTCGAATGCTGACCAGTTCTTATTAGCACTGTGGTGCTATATGTGCCTTTGTCTTCTCTCGATGCCTGCATCAGTGAGCCTTTAACCCCACAGACTCTTCCAGTATTGCTACATCCGTCAGGCTTGGGTTTCCTGTTCTCTTGGCATGAGAAATGCCGATCGTGTGCCTTCCTTTTACTTTCCGGACTCCAGGTCTTCATCACCTTTTATCCAAGTATTTCACCTTGTCTTCTTCTCAAGCCATCCTTTGAAAGCTGCTGTTCAGCTAGCTTACGTCATCGTTCCTTTTGTTGGATTTTTCCATCTGTGTCTAAGCACGAGTTTCAGAGTCTCTTATGACATCTGCTTTGGTATTTTACTTCCTTCCCATCATTTTAAGGATTTTTAGGATATGATGACCTTTATGCCATCCCACAGTTATTCTGGGTTTTCATCACTGTGGTTTGGGGTGTCAGATCTATCTGTGCAATGGTCTTTAAATCCAGGGGGGATGTAGTCAAGGTTGTAATCTGGCCCTTGGAGATTTGCTTTGAATTTTTTCAGCTTCAACTTTAACTTATACATGAGCAGTTGGTCTCTGGCTTTGTCTTGATGAATGCTTTTGAGCATCTCTATGGTCTCCTTCTTGACTTGAACTCGCCTATGAGCTGGTGCGTTGTTTTACTTATTGTCTGCTTCCAAAAATGTAGCTTTTATTACAGAGGGAGGTCAACACGTAGTCATCAATTATGCTGTTGGGAAAGAAATGTATTTCTGATTAATAAGAATCCTATTATGTAATCTTTGGTAGTGTTTATCCATCACTAAGGCTTTATTTTCCAACTGCCGATCCCTCTGCTTTGTTTCCAACTTTTGCGTTCTGGTTTCCAGGAGTTATTAATAAATCTCGATGGCATGTCCCATCCATTTCAGACCATGGCATGGTGCAAACATCTTCAATGACTTCATCTTGGCATTGATGGTTGATGCATGAATTTGAATAGCTGTCATTTTAGCTGGTCTTCCTTGTAGGTGCATGGGCCTTAACCTTTCACTGAAAGCTTTGCATCTCAGCAGAGCTCTTGACATACTTTTTAAAATGTTGAACTCCATACTGTGCCTCCTCGATTTTCTGTTCCCAGCACAGTAGACCATTTGATTGTTGGATTCAAAATGCTGAATGCCTATCCATTTCAGCTCACTAATACCTAGGCTATTGATCTTCATGTGTTCCATTTCATTTTTGATCACTTCCAGTCTTCCTCAATTCCTACTTTATACATTCCATGTTCTGATTACTAATGGATGCTCGCTTCTCACTGTAAGTGGTCCACATCAGCAAAATGAAGCATCATTGACGTTGACTCTACCTTAAGAAGACAGCACTTTCCAGTTGTATTTTAAGTGTCTTTCAACCTGAGGGGCTTATCTGCCAGTACCATCTTGAAGTACTATGCTGGTCATGATAAATTAATATCTATACACTTGCAAGGAAATCCAGTCAATACAACTACTATTCAAATTTATGTGTCAACCACTAAAACTAGTGATGAAGAACTTGAAGAACTCTGCCAATGTCTTCAGTCTGAAATTGACCAAACATGCAATCGAGATGTGATGATAATTATTGTTCATTGGAATTTGAAAGTTGGGAACTGGAAGGGATTCACTGTGAGAAATCACTCCCATTGAGTCAATTCTGACTCATCATCATCCTATAGGACAGACTAGAACTGCCACTGTGGGTTTCTAAGACTGTAACTTTTTATGGAAGTAGACAACCTTATCTTTCTCCCACTGAATGGCTGTTGGTTTTGCACTGCCAACCTTGTGATTAGTTGCCCAATGTGTGACCACTACACCACCAGGGCTCCAGAGGAAGGGACAGTAGTTGGAAAATCTGACCATAGTGACAGAAATGACACTGGAGAGTGCATGATAGAATTTTGTAAGACAAACAATGTATGCATTGCCAATACCATGTTCAACAGTCCAAACAGTGATTATACACATCAACTTCACCAGGTGGGATACACAGGAATCAAATTGACTCTGGCTGTGGGAAGAGACACTGGAGAAGCTCAATGTCAACAGCAAAAATTAGGCTAGAGGCTGACTGGAACAGACAGACCATCAACTACTCATATGTAAGTTCAAGTTGAAGTTGAAGAAAATTAAAATGAGTCCAAGAGAGCCTATCTCAATAATAGATTTGACTCACTGACCACTAATGACAGATGGTATGACAAGCTGTGTGATTATCAAGAACATCATACAAATATCAAGGTGTATGTCAGCAAAGACTCAAACTTACTCTTGTCTGAAGAATAGCTAAAACAACTGTAAGAAGTGATGAGGTAAAGAGCTGAACAGAAAATGTCACAGGACAGCTCAAAAAGACCAAGTAGAGGATGAATAATGAAACATGCAGACCTGGAGTTAGAAAACCAAAAAGCAAGAGCATGCTCAGCATATCTCAAACTGAAAAAACTGAGGGGGAAAATCCAAGCTTTGTGTTGTAATATCGAAATATCTTGTGGGGGCAAAATATTGAATGATGTAGGAGTCATCAAAAGAAGATAGAAGGAATACACTCAGTCCCTGCCTGAAAAGGAACTAGTCCACATTCCACTATTTCAGAAGGCAGCATAGAGCAAGGACCAATTGCACTGAAGGAAAGAGTTCAAGCAGTACTCAGTGCAGCTTCCAGCAGCAGGAATTGATGTAACACCAATGGAAATGTTTCAGTAAGCTGGAAACGCTCACTCATCTATGCTAGGACATTTGGAAGACAGCTACCTACCTAACTGATTGAAAGAGATCCTTAATTGTATCCATTTCAAAGAAAGGTGGCCCAGTAGAATGCTCAAATTATACAATCGAATATCACATGCAAGTAAAATTTTGCTGAAGATCATTCAGCAATGGTTGCAGCAGTACACTGCCAGGGAGCAGACAAATTCAAGCCAGATTCAGAAGAGGCTGTATAATGAGAGATACCACTGCTAACATCAAAGGAAGCATTGTTTGGCTCAGAGTAGCACATATCAGAATGTTTACTTGTGTTTTATTGATAATGCAAAGATATTTGACTGTATGGATTATAACAAACCATGGACAGCATTGAGAAGAATGAGAATTCCAGAATACTCCATTGTGCTTATGTAAAACTTGTACCCGGGCCAAGAGGCAGTCGTTCAAATAGAACGAGGGAATAATGAGTAGTATAAAATCAGGAAAGGTGTGTATCAAGGTTGTATCATTTCACTATACTTATTCAATCTGTAATTATGCGAGTAGGTGTTCTACATGAAAACTAAAGAGGCACCAGGATTGGAGGAAGGCTTATTAACAATCTGCAGTATGCAGATGACACAACCCTACTTGATGAAAGTAAGCAGGGCTTAAAAGTACTTGCTGATGAAGATCAAGGATTCCAGCCTTCTGTATAGACTACAATTCAAAGTAAAGAAAACCAAAGTTCCCACAACTGGACCAATAGATAAAACGATGGTAAATGGAGAAAAGATTGAAGATGTCAAGGATTTCAACATGGTTAGAGCTCCGGTCAGTGCTCATGGAAGCAGCAGGTAAGAGATCAAAAGACGTACTAAAGTGTTGATGGGCAAGGATGTCCCTTTGAGTACTACGGTGCACTTGGAAAGTACATTACAAGCCATGGTATCTTCAGTCGCCTCTTCTGCATGCGTTAGTTGGGCGTGGAATAAGGGAGGTGGAAGATGAACCGATGCATCTGAATTCTGGTGCTGGCAAAGAATACTGAAGGTGCCATCTACAGACAAACAAGTCTGTCTTGGAAGAAGTACAGCCAGAATTCTCCTTAGAAGAAACAAGAAGGGTAAGATTATCTCATATAATTTGGACATGCTATTAGGAGAGACCAATCTCTGGAAATGACGTCACGCTTGGTCAAGTAGAAAGGCAGCGAAACAGAGGAAGACCCTTGAGTGACACGGGGGCTGAAACATTGGGTTCAAGCATAACAATTGTGGGGATGCCACAGGACCGGGCGGGGTTTGCATTCTGTTGTACACGGGTCACTATGAGTTAAAAAAAGAGATTTGACAGCCCCTATCAATAATATATGTGCATGTTTGTCTATATTATGCACATATACAAAAGATATTACATACATAATATAGAGTACACATATACACATACATAGATACACACCCTGATGGGGCCATGGTTAAAGTACTTGCCTGGTAACTAAAAGGTCAAACCCTTCAAACCCACTAGCCACTTGGCTGGAGCGAGCTGTCTCAATGTGCTTCCGTGTTCATAGCCGTGGGAACCTTTGGGGCAGTTCTACCCTGACTTACAGGGATGCTGTGAGTTGGAGTCGATTCAATGGCAGTGGTTTGATTTGGAGGTGTGTGTGTATACAGATATGCACACACATTTGTGTATATATGCACACATGAATGGGGCTTCAAAAAGTTCATGGAAAAATGGACTTACAAGATAAGGGAATTTCCCACAAAATCTTAGACACCCCCATGTACTACGTACTTAGATAGTATCTCCTTTGCCTGAAAGTATTTTGATGATGGCTCTTATGTTGTCTACACCTGAGAAACAGTATTTAGCTTGAAGGTGACAAGTTCAAGGTCAGGATCCAGTAGACCTCTGCTTTACTTAATGAGTATTGGCAGAGGTCATGATGAGCTGAAAAGATACAATTGATTTGTGGTTTGCGATTCCTTTTTTTTTTTTCTTTTCATTTTCAGAGAGCCAAGCCACCCAGACGCCAAGGGCTTGACCGACGTCTGGAGAAAATTCGACAGAGCCATGCAGAGCATCAGGCAGTCCTCACTTCCCTGAAGACAACTGAGCAGAACTGCTTGAAAGCTGAGTGGAACCATCACAATGACCGCAAGGTTTTCAACAGCCATGTGCGGGCCAGAATCAAGGATGCCATGCAAGAGTGTGTTGTCAACACGGAAGCACGGCGGAATAAGTAAGACTCAAAACCCTGATGCCCCAGACTGTTGAAAGAGGCCCCAAAGCCACCAGTTGAGATGCACCCTTCCAAGGTCAAGCAAATTTCTCTAGGAGGAGTCATGGCTGAGCTAGGCATTCCTACCAAATTAGTGTTGGTTTCAGCTGCCAACACGTCAGCTCCCAACTGACTTGTGGTGACCTCATGCCCGCCTGCCCCTGCCTGCGCCATCCCCTTGGTCAATTGTGGGTTGGACCATTGGGTCCCATTAGGTTTTCATTGGCTGATCTTCAGAAGTAGATTGTTAGACTTTCTTCCTGGTCCATCTTAGCTATTAGTGTTCCTGAAACCTGCTCAGCATCACAGCTACGTGACAGATAGGTGGTGGGGTCTTGTCCAGGAACCGAACCCAGGTGGCCCACGTAAAAGGCAAGAATGCTACTGCTAGACCCTCAGTGGCAAGAATGCTACTGCTAGACCCGCAGTGGCAAGAATGCTACTGTTAGACCCTCAGTGGCGCATACCAAATAAATAGCTATTGCTTAGTATTTGTACTCGTGTTCTGTTGGCAAACTTAAGTAGCCATTGGTTCATATTCTGTTCAATTAAATCTATACACTTCACTTATTTTTAGATGATCTTATAAAAGTATGTATGGCTAAAATCAGTCTCATCATTGCTTTCAACGACAGCTAGTCACTTTCTTTCTTAAGTACTTCTTTGTTGCTTTAAAACAACAACAACAAAAAACCCTCTTTACCATGAATTGAATGAAGAAGGCTTATGGGGCACACAGATCACCGGTTTTACATTCAACAATTCTCCTCATTTGTTTCCTCTCCTTGATTGCACTCCCCTGAGTTAGACCGCTTGTCCTTCCTGTTCCCATTCCTCCTCCGCCTTATGGACTCTTCTGAGCACCGCCCTCAGGTCAGCGCTGTCCTTTTCATCTCAAATGGTTGATTATTCTAGCCTCCCTAGTGTCATTGCTCCCCTGAGAGACGATAAAAACCCCAACCAAACTCACTGCCATCGAGTTGATGCCAACTCATAGCAACTCTATAGGACAGGGTGCAATGGCCCCAAGGAGTTTCTGAGACTGTAATGCTCGTTTTATAACCACCCCACCCCCACCCCTAAAGCCTTGTTATTAGGAGCTCTCACAGATAGCATACCATTCCAGTCACTCACCTCAAGTAGAATCACACAATTACTGCAACAATCAGTTTCAAACATTTTCTTCCTTCTTGAGCTCCTTGATATCAGCAGCCATACTCCCCAGGAACCCTTATTCTGCTTATTGTTTCTGTGGGCTCATCAGTTCTGGGAGGCTGGAATTCTTAATGGGAGTAGAAAGGCTGGTGATTTCAAACTGCTTGCAGTTAATTAGCAGCCCAACTCGTAGCCACTATGCTGCCAGGGCCCCTTGTCAACTATCACTGATTATAGTTGAGTGTTTGGCTTAAAAATTGAGCTCGGGGGAACTGTTCAGTTCCAGACCTGAAGGGTGGCTAAGGGCCACACATCGTCTTGGGGTTCTCACCAGGCTCTAACCCACCAGTAAGCCCGGTCATTTTTATGATTTTCAGTTTGGGCTTACATTTTTCTTCCACTCCATCCTGGAACTCCTAATGCGATCCCTTTGGGGAAGTGGTAGCCGGGCACCATCTAGTTCTTCTGGTCTCAGGGTCATGAAGACTGATGTTTGCATGGGCCCTCGGGCCATGGAACTAATTAATTGCTTCTACATGTCTTGGATTTTTATCAGTTGTCTTCCTTCCCAATAAGAGCTGGATGGTGGCACTTTAGATGGCTGCTCTCATGCTTTAAGACCCCAGTGGCTACTCACCAAAGTAGGATGGAGCACACCGTCTAAGAGCCATGTTGTGCCAGCTGACATTAGGGTCCCCTAAGGCTATGACCCTGAGCCCCCAGGTCCTGTGGCTCATCTCCTCAAGGTGTTTGGTAATGCTAAGAAGTTCCCATAACTTTGTCCCAGGAGTTCCACGACATTCATGGACATATTTGCAGCAAAGGTAAATACACATGTCAATCCTGTGTGTGTGTGCGTGCGTGTGTGTGTGTGTGTGTGTGTGTGTGTATTCCCACCCTCCTGTACTCATCCAGTCTGTCTATGTACACATCGACTTATATTTCGTAGTTGCTGCAGGGTGGTGTACATCACAGGATTTACCACTGTTGCCCTTATCTCATGCACTCCTCCCAGTGTCTTCCTCTCCCCCCATCATTTTTTGCCACCCTTCCACTGGCTCTACACTCCCTTCCCTTTTACCCCATTTAACACATGTCTGCCCTTGAGGCAAAGACTTAACTTCCTTTTCCTTCTACCCCTGGTAACCAATCTAGAATTTTTTCGGGGGAGGGAGAGGGTCTGAATATCCTTTCTTGACTTTTTATAACAGCGGTCTCGTGCATTATTTTTCTTTTTGTGATTGACTAATTTCACTGTGCATAAAGTCCTGGGGGTTATCCGGGCTGCACCATGTCCCACAGATTCATCCCTGCCCTTTAACACTGCACAGCGTTGCTCTGGGTGTTCGCACCCTCGCTGGGGTCACCATCTCCCCCACTGATGGGCGTTTTAGGTAGATGATCACAAAATTTCAGATCCCCCGACACTACTCAACAAAGTAGGATGTAGAACGTGGTCTTTGTGGACTGAGTTCCCGATGGCAACTTGTCTTATTTTATGTGGAACAGAATTGCATCTCCTCCTCCTCGTGAACTTTATCGGAGGGGGAATCAGACAGAATCAAAGCCAGCTAGTGAACTGGAGCCCGTGGCGTCAGGGTTCTAGTTCTCGTCCTCTTTCTGCTGCAGGCTCCGAGAACTTCTGGCCTGTGAAGAGAATGCATATGCGATGGAAATGCAATCGAAAGAGGAAACCCTCGAGGTGAAAACAGAGAGAATGAGAGAGCAAACCAGACTGTTGAAAGAGCAGAAAGAGAAAGAGAAAGAGAAGTTTGTGGCTGAGAAGCTTGACCAGCAGTTCAGGTAATGAAGTCAGAAACACAGAATCTGATAGGTGGTCTAAAATGAATTTAAAATGCTGATTTATAGTGACTGATCTCCTCAAGGGGTGTGTGTTCGTCTGCGCTTTCTAGAGAAACAAAACCAGGGATACATTATGTATAAGAAAACGCTTTCTCTCAAGAGAGAAGTTCATATCAAAAAGCCCCCCAGGAGAGTCCAGTCAAGGCCTTAGGTCTGATGCTAAGCCAGCGTCGGCTCCAGACACACACAGGTGTTGCTGGATGAAGCAGAAAGGAAAAGCAGTACCAGAGGAAACCAGCCTCTGACAACCACGGGGTCCGTAGACGCAGGTGAACGGCAATGATATATAAAGATCATAGTCAAGGCATAGAGAGTAGGAGGGATAGGAGAGACAGTACAATAAAGGAGTCAGGCACATTTCCTGGTAGCATGCTCACCTCAGCCCCTCTTGGTGGTCCCGTGGAGGTGGGAGAAGAGAGGAGGAGAGAGAGCGGGTATATTTCTAAATCAAGGCTTATATACACTTAGGGTAAGGTGACCAGATTTTAACATTGGTAAAGTGGGACAAAAGCGGGACACCATTGATAAAACTCATGTCCTGGTGAAATAGCCACATGGCAGCCAAATACCGTATACCCTAGCTTGTCATGCATTCTTTCCAAAAATCGGGACTTTAAAAAACGCCAAAAGCGGGACGTCTGGTCACCTTAACTTAGGGGTGTGCAAGCCCCCCCTGATTACAGGTAACCACCTCCGTCACAGGAAGGGGCTGTCCAATAGGCATGCAGTGACAGGAAGGGGATGAATTAGGGGGTACACGCGTAGGACGGGGAGGGACATGTGACAAGATGGGTGGATCCTAGATTCAAGATGGCAGACTAACTTTGGTCATCCTTGAGTTGGCTTGACCTTGTTTCTGGACTCTCCTTCAGGGAAACAATCCACTATCCTTATCCCATGTATGGTGGGAGAGACAATAGAGTCTGATTGCCCTAGATGGCTGATACCCTCTGATGGCTGACCTCCCCTTTGCTAGCAAGCAGCTTCCTAGGCTAGACATACAATATGGGGGACAACCTGGGGAAAAACCTTTCTGTATCCCACAAAGTGGGATGCTGGAAGATCACAGGCCAGTGGGCACAGTGTCCTGTGGATCCAAGGTCCGCAGGAACGTGGCAGGGCACCACAGCTCCCAGGGCCAGCAGGCCGCATGAGCTGTCAACCCCACAGCCAGACATGCGGTCTCTCTTATAAAAAGGCCACACCCCCAGAGGCATCACCAGGTTACCACCTGATTGACAAGATAGGCTCCGCCCCTACCTCCACACAAGCACCATTAAGTTGACATAAAAATCTAAGCATCATCAAGGGTATAAGTAGGTGGATGTTGAAGCTGTAGTAATTGGACATGTTTTGGAGCATGCAAATGCTTCAAGTGCCATGCTCGATCTCGTGTTCTGGGCTTGCCTACCAATTAGAAGGACAGGACCAAGGGGGATTCTGCTCCTGAATCTGAGACTCAACTTCCAGTCTTGCTCTGTCCGGGGAGTGACTTGCGAACCCTGTCCCAGAGAGTTTTGGGTAGAGTTGGGCTCTCCTCTCCTACTGCTGTGGTCCCCACCTACCCCTGCAGGACCTGTGCTAGGGTCCTGGTTCTTCATCCTTGCCTGCTGTTATCCTTGGTTCCTGATCACCAGGGTTGTAACGCCTTTTTGCTTCTCTAGAGAGAGGCCAACCCAACCCCCAGGCCTATGGTGACCTTCCAATTGGTTTCAGATCCCTGGTCTTCAGCAAGTTCCGACCAATCCCTGGTTGTCTCCATCAGTGCTTTTCCTGATTGTGCCTTCCTGGGACACCTGATTTCAACCTGATGCCCTGAAAATCTGTGTTGAAGTACCCAAGGGGGATCCTCTGTGGTTGAGCTACCAGCTGCTTACCTGAAAGGTCAGCAACTCACACTCACCAGCTGCCCCGTGGAAGAAAGATGTGGCTGTGGGATCACAGGCTTGAAACCCCAGGGGGCAGTTCTTCTCCACCATGGGGTAGCCACGGGTCAGAACACACCGGAAAGCCACGGGCTTGCTTTGGGTGCATTATTATGACTTTGGAGGAAACGGGGCCCCTGGCGATGTAGTAGTCACACATAGGGCTGCGATCCTCAAGGCCCAGCTGTTCCGTCAACAGTTGTCATCTCGGAAGCTCCTAGGGGCAGTTCCACCTTGTCCTGTAGGTTGCTGCACATCGGCATGGACATCGTGGCGGTGAGTGAACGGAAGCAGAAGAAAGAGGAATGGGTCCCCGACATTTTATAAGGGGATTAAGGACTCGGTGGGAATGGACCCCACATGCACAACCAAAGAGGGCTCCTGGTGACGCAGTGGTTGAAGTGCTAGAGAGCAAACGGAAAGTTTCCAGCCTCCAACTGCTTCTGGGGAAACGACGTGGCAGTCCGCCTCCCTCCGGATTTACAGCTCGGGGACCTTGATGAGGCGGCTCCGTTCTGTCCTCCTGGGTCCTTAGGAGTCGAAAGCAACTCAGCAACCGTGTATTTTGGTTTGGGCGTGACCAAGGAGACCTCCAAGGGGACCTCAGTGAACTAGCCCTGGACGAGGGTGCCCGTGTCGAGGATTTTCACCAGGTCTTCAAGTCTTGTGCATCATAAAACCCTCTCAGTAAAAAAAAAAAAAAAAGGCAAAGTACCTGTCCAGCAATATGATCCTTCTTGAAATCTCTGCCATTCTACCATAGCCTGTACATTATGAAATATTATCAAAATTAAAATTGAAAGGGGGTGAGATAAAAAATAAACATCAAATATTTCCTCCCCACTGGCCGCCCCCCCACCCCAGATGACAGCCTAGATGAGCCATGGAGCAGTTCTGCACTGAGTCGAATGGACCCCATGCCCCCTTGCACCCCGCAACCTCCTTCCTGCACCCTAATGACCGACCTGGGTGCTCAGCCTTGGGGACTGGTGATTTAGGGGGGCTCACTGTTACCAGGAAGCATGAAGAGACATTAAAAGGTGGGTGGAATGATTGGAAGAAAGCCAAATTCGGGGGCAACCTGGCAATAAAATAAATGTGCTTCAGCATGACAAATCTAAGCACTTCTCTGCTTGTTTTCAAATAAAATCCATACCAGGCACCCGTGTCCCAGCTGCTATAGTGACATGTGACAAATGCTCGAGAGAAATGAAAATGTAGGTTCACACAAAAACCTGTACCCAAATGATGAGCCCTGATTTAGATCTGATCACCCCCAAACTAGAAGCACTCCAAATGCCCTTCCATACGTGTATGGTTTAAACAAACTGGCATATGCACAGCATGGAATATTGCTCAGCATGGAACAGAAGGGGAGAACTATTGATACTCCCAAGTTGGGTGGTCCTTGAGGGCACAACAAAGGGACCATCTCCGAAGAGCACAGATTCCATGATTTCATGTCCACCTACTCTCTAAATGGCCAACTTCTAGAACTAGATAAGCGAGCAGTGGTTGCCAGGCGTTAGGAAGAATAATAGTTACCATTTACCGAACCTCTAGCAGGAGCCCTGGTGGCAGATTGGTCATGCATTGGATTGCATTCCATGTGGCCGGCACTTCGAAACCACCAGCCCGCTCCTTGGGAGAAAGATGAGGCTTTCCCCTGCTGTACGAGTTACAGTCTCAGAAACTCAGATGGGCCTATCCAGTCCTATAGGGTCCCGATGAGTCAGAATCAACTTGGTGGCAGTAAATCTGGTTTTCAAGTTTTATTAGCTCTCAAAGGAGCGTGTGGGTGCAGTGGTTAAGGCTCCTGGTTCCCAACCAAGGTGTGCAGCCACTCCAGGGAGAAAGATGTGGTGGTCCGCTTCATAAATATTTCTCAGGAAAAACAAGCAAACCAACCAACCCCAAACTAGCAAAAATCAACTCACAGCTATGAGTTGTCAATTCTGACTCCTGGCGGCCCCGTGGGACAGGGCAGAAGTGCTCCGGTGGGTTTCTGAGACAGTAACTCCTCATGGGATTGTAAAGAGCCTTATCTTTCTCCCACGGAGCACTTGGTGGTTTCAAACCATTGATCTTGCATTTAGCAGCAAGGTCGCCTGATGCATCACCCAACTCCATCACCAGGGCCCCTTGGCAGTCCTGTGGGGGTGATCTACCCCGACCTCTAGGGCCCCTCCGCATCAGAATCCACTCGATGGCAGTGTGGTTATTATTTACCAAGATTTACTCGGCCGGACGTTCTCTGATCTCCACCAGAACCTTGACAGGCCTTGGCAAGGAAACCGGCTCACAGAGGGTGAGCTCTTGACCCAAGGTGCCACAGGAAACCGCAAAGGAGGGCGGGAAGCTCCCTCTCCTCTGCTCAGGCTTTGCACCTGGCAACCGCGGGTGATGAGCAGATCTGTGTCCAACGAGCCGTGTCTCCGGGAAGCCTGGGTTTGCCTTTTCTTTCTTTTTTCTTTGTTGGCCTTCTGCTGAGTTCAGGTCCCTGCCCTTCCAGGGAGAGCTGCGAAGAGCTCCGCCTGCAGTTGCTCAGTCGCCACCAGAAGAAGGTGTGTGAGGAGCGGCAAGCGCAGGTGGCTTTTAACCAGGAGAGGCGGCGGCGGGAGCTGCGGGAGGAGCAGATGTTCGCCAGGCTCTGGGAGGAGGACCGGCTGGCCAAGGAGCAGCGCGCGGCGCAGGAGGCGCAGCGGCAGAGGGAGCGGGTGGACAGCACGCGCCTGGGGCTCCACGCGCAGATCAGCGCCCTGCAGGCGCGGCGGCAGGCGGAGCGGCGGCTCCAGGAGGAGGAGGCGCGCCAAGTGGTGGGCCTCCCCGCTCCCCACCCCGCGTTTCCACGCCTGACAGCACCCCCCAGGCTTGATTTCTCATCATCCTTTCCACCCCCACTCCCCCTGCCCCCCAGAGTACCTCTAAGCACACGCCTCAATAACTGCCCGCCTAAGGACGTTCTTTAAACAACGCATTTATTAGGCGTGGGGTGGACGGGGCAGGTTCTTTTTCTCATCAAAACTCAGCGTCAAATTTCCATCATTGCCTAAATTATTTTATTTTTAAATCAGGACCCAAACCTGGACTGCTGGCTGATAAGTCTGTTTGAGGGGTGGTGGTTCTCAAGGCCACCATCAATTCAGACTCAGAGTGACCCTGCAGGACAGGACTGCCCCTGTGGGTTTCCCAGACTGACTCTTGAGGGGAGTAGAGAGCCCCTTCTTTCTCGGGAGTGGGGCTGGTTAGGTGCCACGACTTTTTTTTTTTTAATGTCTCGTTAAGTGAGCGAAGGTTTATTTACAGAGCAGATCCATTTTCCATCAGCGATCGGCACACATTTTGTTACCGCTCCCTGATGGCAGGCCCCACGCATCCACATCAAGATCCCACTTCCACTCTGGATTTCCAGTTTCATCCCTCCCACTCCCCTAACCTTCCTGCACTTGGCCCGTGTAAGTGCCGCCCTTTCCAATCAAGTCGAATTTTGATGGGAGCAGCCCCATGTGACAACCTGGTGGTGTCTTCTCTCGGCTGTTCCCTTGTCTTCAGGGACATATTTACTTTTGTTGCTGTTTAAAATAGAGACAGCATACCATAGATCAACTCAACAGTTTCTATATGTGTGACTGAGCCACACCGATCACAGTCCTCTGATTGTCCCTTTCCCCGAGCTGCTCCTGCCCAGTCCAGTCACCAGCTCTTTTCTCCCACAGAGCCAGTGGGGGTGGGGAGGGTAGCAATGGGTGCTGAACTGGTGTGGCCCCAGGATGCCTTCTTGTGGGAATAAACCAAACCCATGGCTGCTGAGCCAATTCTGACTCAGCGCAGGCCCGACCCCTAGCCTTTCCAAGGCTGCCACCTGGCCTGGTACAGACTCTCATTTTTCTGCCAGTGACTGGCTGGAGGGTATGAAACGTTACCTTCTGGTGATTGGCTGAGTGCTGACATCATTGGGCCACCAGGACCCCTTCTTTTAGAAGTCTGAACTCCCACTGCCATCCATCCATTCCGACTCATAGCAATAGGGTAGGACTGCTCCCTTTGAGTTTCTGAGACTGTAACTCTTTACAGGATAATGTGGTAGGCTGGGTGGACTAGAGAAACAAATCCAGGGAGACTCATATGTGTATCAGAAAGAGTTTTATATGCAAGAGCAATTGAATATTGAGAAAACATCCCAGCCCAGTCTAGATCAAGCCCATAAGTCCGATATTAACCCATATGTCTGATACCAATCTATAAAGTCTTCTTCAGACTCATGAAACACCTGCTATGACACCGAATGCAGGAAGATCACAGGCCAGTGGGTGGTAAGTCTTGTGGATCCAATGGCGTTGTAAGTATCTCAGTGCTGGCAGGGGTCTCCACGTGGTTCCTCCAGCTCTGAGGTTTCTGTCTGCATCAGGGTAGCTTCATGTGGCTTCTTGTCAGAAATGCCTTGCAGGGAATGAGCCTTGTCAGTAGAGTCTCCAAGGGAGTGAACAGAGAGACAGTGTGTGTGTCTCCCTCCTCCAGGGAGGAATTACAGGAGTTCCCAGAATACTCAGAAGAAGGCCATGCCCACACCGAGGCCTCATTGGCTATATCCTGATTGACAGGCTAGACTCCACCCCTACACTCCTAATCCTCAAATTGGCCCCAGATTACATAACTACCACATGGGAGTAGAAATCCTCCTCTTTCCCCCAAAGAGAGGCTGATGGTTTTGAACTGCTGACCTCGTGGTTAGCAGCACAACGACCTGCATTCCAGGAGCTTCTCTTTTAGGGACAGTGGCTGTTTAATTCATCACTCACACCGGGGCACATTTGAAAGTTAAAGAGGTGAGCCCTGTTGGCTTTGTGGGTTAAGAGTTGGACTGCTAACCTCGGATATGACAGAAGTTCAAACCCACCAGCCTCTCCTTGGGAAAATGACTATATCTGCTACTGTAAAGATTCCATTTCAGAAAAAGCCTTGGAGTAGTTCTACTCTGTCACATACTGTCACTGTGAGTCAGAATTGATTTGAGAGTAGCGTTTTGGGTTTTTTTTCTATGACTTAACTCATCCGGTCAGCACCAAAGCACACTCGATGTCATCAATTTGATTCTGACTCATAGCAGGTATGAAATCAGAACTGTCCTGGCCAAATCAAGAACATAGGCCCCTGCTTTGAACAGTTCTCCCCCACCCCATGCCCCACTCATTTCAGATTCGTGGTTGTAATCAGCCCTACTGTAAGGAGCCCTGCTAGTATAGTGGGCTACGTATTGGGCTGCAAACTTCAAGGTGAGCAGTTCAAACCTACCAGCAGCTCCACAAGAGAAAGATGAGGCTTTCTGTTTCCTGAAAGAGTTATAGCCTCAAAATCCCAATGGAGCAGCTCTGCTCTTATCCTGCAGGGTTGCTGAGTCAGAATCCACTCAGTAGTAGTGAGTTAGATGAGCTGCTGTCATCAGCCAGGGCTACGGCCCTACCACTTTGAATACGCACAGCCTGTGAACGGCACCTGCTCTCATGTTCGATCCCCATTGCTTTTCCTTAAATACTGAAGCACACTCTCACCTGTAGGATCTCACTTTGGTCAGTTAGACCACAAGGAAGACTTACTGCCCCAGGGCACTAATGCAAAAAGCTAGCAGGTCACTTCCCTCTCACAGCCAGCAATCACAGTCATCACGGCTATGCTGCATCTCAGTGAAACCAAGTCCCATGGGGGAGTGTGTCCCAGTCTCACTGGGCCTGAGCCATCTGATCCCCTGACTGGGAAAGCATGCTGCACCCACCAGGGCTCAGCTGCCCCTGGGAGGTTTAATACTTGTCTTACACCCGACTCATATTTCCCACCAAGCCCACAATATCCAGGAGTCTTGGTGCCCCAGTTGACGCTGCCTAGTTGGCCAAGGAATTAAGCTAGCCAGGAGGGTCAGAAAGAAAACAAAATGGAAGGAGTGGTGGCGTATTCTTAAAGAAAAGACAGGCATAACATTCAATGCTGTAGATTTCGCTCAAGTGCACATTTCCAATTTTAAACTCTTATAAAATCTGGGAGGCCAGTACCCCCAAGTGTTGAGAGTAGTGGGAGGTAATGGGGACAGGGACTAAAGGTGATTCCTCTTTGCACTTTTCTGCATTTTTGAACTCACAAGTATTAATGACTTTATCAAAACAAACACACACAAGCAAGAGAACCGTTTCCACAAAGCCTTAATCACTGACTTTGCAATAAAGTCAAGATTTATGAATCTGTCTTAATAACCTCTCTAAATCCAGCTTGTGTGTGTGTGTGTGTGCGAGCAACTTTTTTCTGATCTCTTAAATGAGATAGTTTAAACTACTTGTTTTATCTACTTGTCCTGAGGCCTGATCTTCATTCATTATGGTTCTGCCTCAGGAAATCGATACTGCGGAGGCGAAACTTGAGAATGAGCAGGAGAAACTAAAGAAACTGGAGTCAAGGCGGGAGATAAGGAACTTTCTGCAGAAAGCCGTGCAGGAGAAGGTGGGCCATATTCAGCAGGAGGAGAGAGCAGAGCAGGACTTGAACATGAAGCTCATGCAAAGGGCCCTTCAAGACTTACAGGGAGAGGTTGAGAAAAAGAAGCAAAAGAAGGTAAGCGAAAGAAGAAAAAAAAATTCACTTGGCAGAAGGAAAAAAAAAAAGAGTAAGGCAGGTATTTGGTGCTGTCCAAGATGCCTCGTGGGAGACAGCTGCAGGCAGAGTGAGCTGGGGCCGTGACAACAGCCCAGCAACCTGTAGCATCAGCATCCTCTGGGAGGTGACCAGGTGTAGAGTGCATGGACTTCACCCCCGGCGCAGAGTCTCCTCACCTCCTCACCAGTCCTGCCAGGGCTTGTTAAGACAGAAGCTCCCCCAGGCGATTCTGATGCTCTGCTATTCCCTAAACTGGCCGGTGCCAACACTGTAACAGCACAGTGGGTCACACCACAGGGAGCGATTCAGAATGCCTGGATGTTGGGGAGACACCTTTGGGGCCGTGGCATTTGAATTGAATCTAGAAAGAGATATGTAAGCGTTGATCAGGCAAAGGGTGTAGAAGGAGCGTTTTACTCCAGTCAGCTGTGCTGCCTTGGGGTTTATATGGGATGCTAAAAGAGTGTTGTGCTTCCCCTATGAAAGCTTTCTTAAAATACTTATCCTCTTTAAGGTAATTATAGATCCACATGCAACTGTCAGAAGTAAGACAGAGGAATCCCATGTAGCTTATATTCCGTCTGTTTCTCCCTGTGGTAACACTTTGCAAGCCTGTAGTCCACAGTACAACCAGAATATTGGCGTGGAGACAGTCGAGATACAGGACATGCCATCTCATTTTCATCACCACAAGGACTCCTCACAGTGCCCTCTCATAGCCACACCCACTCCATCCTGTCCTCTTCCTCTCCTAACTAGACACTGGCTCCTGTGTTTTCTATTTCTATAATGTCCTTTCAAGAATGCTCTATAAATGGAGTCACACAGTATATCACTTTTTCAGAATGGCATTTTTGCACTCTGCACAGCTCCTGAGGATTCATCCAGGTTGCTGCATGTGACAGCAGTTCTTTTGAAAAAAAACCTTTAAATTGTGGAGTGGTGTGGACACATTGAACACGAATGACAGTGCACCGGGTAACTTGTGGGATGACATCAAGGGCCTCCTACGTGAAGAAGGGAAAACGTCACTTAAAAGACAACAAAGAGAGAAAAGACAAAAACTGATGCCAACAGAGACTTGACACTTGCTCTAGAAGGTAGAGAAGCTAAAGTGAGTGGAAGAAATGATGAAGTTCATTCCAAAGGGTGCTTGGGAAGGCAAAGTGTTATAATGAAACACGTGCAGACCTGGGGTTAGGAAACCAGAGGAAGGAGCATGCTCAGCATTTCTCAAGCTCAGAGAACTGAAGAAACAACTCAAGCCTTGGGTTCAATATTGCAGGATTCTATGGGCCAAGTAAATGACACAGGAATGGCAGTTTGCATAGCCCCACTTCTGCAGGAGTTCCATGAGTGTGGGATACAGAAAGGTTATTCCCAGGCTGTCCCCCCATATTATATGCCAAACCTAAGATGCTGCCTGTTAACACATGGTCAATGGCTATACACTTGAAGGCCAACCGCTGTGTTAGTCCGGGTAGACTAGAGAAACCAATTCATGGACACACTCTTATGTGTATAAGAAAGAGCTTTATATACAAGAGTGTTGAATATTGAGAAAACATCCCAGCCCAGTCCAGTCCAAGCCCAGAAGTCCGATATTAGCCCATATGTCTGATACCAATCTATAAAGTCCTCTTCAGACTCACGGAACACATGCAGTGACACTGAATGCAGGACAATCACAGGTCAGTGGGTGCAAAGTCTTGTAGATCCAGTGGTGGTAGAAGCATCTCAGCACTGGCAGGGGTCTCTATGTGGGTTCTCCAGTTCCCAGGGCATGGGGTCTATCAATGTAGTGCTGTGTGTCTTGTCAGTACAGTGTCTCTCAGGAAGTGAGCAGAGAGAGAGAGAAGTGTCTCCCACCTCCCAGGAAGAAATCCAGGAGTTCCCAGAATTCTCAGGAGAAGGCCATGCCCACACAGAGGCCTCATTGGTTATATCTTGATTGACAGGCCAAACTCCACCCCTTCACTCTTAATCCTCTCCAATTGACACCAGATTATGCAACTACCACAACTGCTTAAAGGTTATCTGTCTGAGGGTTATCAGCCATCTAGAGCAATCAGACCCTGTAGTCTGTCCCACCCTAGGTGGGTCCCACTCCCTTCTGATAAGGATAGTGGAGGACTAAAGGTAGACTGCCATCTTGATTTTAGAGTCTGCCCATCTTGTCACATGTAAACTGCTAGTGCCTTCCCCTTCCTATTGAGTGTGCACCCCTAGCTTGGTCCTTACTGTTGCACATATGCCTATGGTACAACCTCTTCCTGTTATGATGTAATTAGGGGGCTTGCATGTCCCCTAAGTCTCTATAAGCCTTGGTTGGAAATATATTCTCTGTCTGCATGGACCTGACTGCTGAGATCATGGCCATCCAGGAGGTGAGCACTCACATGCTTTATCTTGTCTGATCTCTCTTTAATTTAACCACTCAATTACACAACCACCACTTGGACCCGTTCGATTTTGGGGGCTGGTACCGCATACACGAGTGTTATTTGCATTCTCGTCAGGCTGTCCAATCCTTTTGGTGGGCCTACAAACATCTTACTTGCATAATCCTTTCCAGTAATTGTGGGAGTTTTGAGGCTATGCATAGCTAAACGGGCCTATTAAGTAATTACGGTACCACACTCTCTGCCCTAAGCAGCCGCTAATTTACTTTCTATCAATATAGATTTGCCAATTCTGGATTTCAAATGAATGAGATCATATAACACATGGTCGTTGTGAAACCTCTCATTGACATCATGTTTTCAAGGCCCATCCATTTTGTAGCCTGTATCAGTATTTCATTCCATTGTTTGCCTATCTACTACTTTTTGTTAGTCCATTGGTCAGTTGATGTTTATTTTGATTAGTTTTTCCTTTCGACTGGCACCAGTAATGCTGCTATAAATATTCATGTATGTTTTGTGTAGGCCTATGCTCTTATTTCTCCCGAGTATATACCTAGGAATGGGATATGGCACATGGTAGCTGTATGCTTAAGCTTTTAAGGAATGTTCACACTGTTTGTCCAAATGGCTGAACTGTTTCACCTTCTCTCACAGTATGTGAGAATTCTGATTTCTCCACATCCTCACCATCATTGCTCTTTTTAAAAATGTATTTTCTTTTTAATCCTTTTGTTGGGAGCTCTTACAGATATAACATTCCATAGTTCCCTCTCTTCAAGCAGTGTTGTACAATAGCTATCAAAATCAGTTTCAAAACATTTTCTTTCTTCTTGATATCAACTCCCCTTTAGGCCCTCCCACCCCTCTCTACCCTCCCAGGAACCCTTATTTGTTTTCTCATATCTTACACAGCCAGTATATCCATTCACATACAATTCTGTTGTTCATCCCATCGAGTGGGGTTATACTGTCACCAGTGCTATCAGCTCCCTATGCTCCCCTGCCCACTTCCTGTACCCTCAGGGAACCATTACTCCTGTTACTGTTTGTGAAGGGTTATCTATCTTGGCTTTCACGTACCAAATGATTTTAAATATACAAGTGAACATATGCAAATCTAACATGATTAATATGGTAAAACAAATAAAGACCATGATAGTAAGGGGAGGAAATATTAAATAACCAGAGGATAGTTATGCTTCATCAGTGTTATACCACACCCTAGATGTATCATCCCTTCCATGTGGCCCTTCTGAGAGGGACTGTCCAATTATCTTTCAGGTGGGTTTTGGGTCTCCACTACATCCACGCCCATCACACCAATTTGGTTGCTTGCTTTTGAATTTCTGATACCTCTTCCCGTTGACACCTCATGATCACACAGGCTGGTGTGATTCTTCTGTGTGGGCTTTGTTGCTTCTCTTCTAGATGGCCACTTGTTTATCTTCAAGCCTTTAAGACCCCAGAAGCTATATCTTTTAATAGCCTGGCACCATCAGCTTTCTTACCACATTTGCTTATCCACCCATTTTGTCTAAAGCAATTGTGACAGGAAGGTGAGTATCATACAATGCCACATTATAAGAGCAAACCATTCTCATGCTGAGGTAAGATTTAAGTAGAGGTCCAAAGTCCTTCTGCTTCCTTGTTCCAATTGCATAGATATACATAAATAAACAGAGCCACATAAATGTATATATTTACATGTATATACATGTATTCTTCTTTCCTCTTTTCCCCCCATCCTGTCCCACTATCATGTTTACTCATCGGTCACCTCTTTGTAATTCTCTCAGATACAATTAGTTTGATCAAACATGCCCAGAAAAGCTATATCCTCCTCGCCATCAATTCTAGAACCCTTACTATTCCCCCATACCAGACGTTATTGGCTCACCGCTCCCCTCCCTCTGCCTCCTCCCCTCCCAAGCCCCGCAGTCTTGTCTCCATGAGGTTGCCTATCTCGTGGAGATAAGCCCCACGAAAGAACCGACAGATAGTCACCAGTCTAATTGGGATCCCGACAGAGCAGAGGGCTCTCTCTGTGAAACAGTGAAAGGGACATGTTACGAACCATCATCAGTCCCCATTGCTACCCCGTCCTGCTTAGCAAGCAACATGTACTCCCTTTGAGATTCTAGTCTTCCTACGGGGGTGAAGTGTGTCTTGGTGTGGCTTTGACTGTCTCCCTCCCTCTGCCAATGACTAATAGCATGGGGGCATCTTTTCATGTGCTTATTAACCCTTTGCATATCTGTTGGGGTGAGGGAGTCCCCAACACTCAAATGGGTCCTCAGGAGCGACTTCATGATTGTAGAAAATATTAGACAGACAGACAGCGGGGCACATGGGTTCCTTGTCCCATGTTAGGACTGAGAGTGGGAATGTAAATTCCAATGGGTCTATATAGTGGGGATTATAGATCTTTCATAAGGCATGTACGTCATACAGCTAACATCAGACATAATCAATAGGTAATATCATAAGCAGGTAACATAAGATGAGGAAGCAATAAGATGAGTCAGTGTCTTGATCTAGTGCTAGTTGACTTCAACCCCCCCTGAGCCTGCCCCAGGGGGATGCTACATTTATTATGGTGGGTTGGCTATAGCACCTGATTGCTTTTATCTGCAGAAAACCTTTAGGTGTTGCGAAGTAGCCAGACACAGCAATGATTCATGTTACATGGTAGCTCCTTCATGGGGGGGGCGGGGGGTTATTGGAGGGACTGTGTCCAGTCATGGGAATGTGTATTAAGATTTACTTACGTATATCTCATAACCGTGAGTCTTCCCCCACCAGAGCTGGCTTTCCAGACCCGTAACTGCATGGATGATCCAGCTGTGTTACACGCTCATCCAGTTCCTCAGTTTACCACACGTTATTCTTGGAGAATGTCTAGTGAAATCCTTTGCCCATTTTAAGGCTGGATTGGAGGCTTTTTATTACTGAGTTATGAGTTCTTTATAGATTACCGTATATACTCGAGTATAAGCTGACCTGAATATCAGCCGAGGCACCTACTTTTACCACAAAAACAGCATTAAAAATGTGCTGAAAAAACTTGGCTTATCCTCGAGTATATATAGTGTATATATAGATAGATACCTTATTGAATGTAGGATTTAACAGTATTTCCTTCCATTGTTGTCTTAGTTATCCAGTGCTTCTATAACAGACATACCACAAGTGGGTGACTTAATCAAATAGAAATTTGGGAGGATTGACGTCTGAATTCAGGGTGTGGAACCTAGGGGAGGGCTTTCTCTCTCCTCTGGCTCTGCAGGATGGGTCTGACCTTGTGTGAGCCTCTGCACCTGGGCAGTCTTCATAGGTCTGGCATCTCGCCACTTCATTTTCTCTTTGCCAGTTGGCCTTGATCTCTTATACCTCAAAGGAGATCGACTCACGGGACACCCTACCCTCACTGTCTCACTGACATCAAAAGACAGCCCTTTCCCCAGCAGGACCCTCCCCACAGCCAGAGAGGGTAGGGTTTACAGCAAATATACCTGATACAATTGATGTATGGATTGTAATAAGCATTGTAAGAGCCCTCAAAAAATGATCAAAAACAGGACTCATCCTTGTCATATATATATATGACTAAAGGGTTCATCTGTATACACTCTCTTACCATTCTCTCCTCCCCGCAGCTTTCTACGCCCCTGCAGGTTAATCTACTACAGTTCCTGTCTCAGAGTTGGACTTAGTCATTTCCCCAAGGATTCCTTGTTCTTTTTGGGTGGAAATGACTTTAATAAAAACTAAAACCCGAGTCTTCGGTGTTAGATTACTACTGAGTCACTACTGCTTTTAGATAGAATTACAGAATCTTTTCCCTTTCCCCTAAAGAGGAAAGTCATTAGTTTATATTGATATTTTAAATTCAAATGGAAGATTATAGGGATATGTTTTCCAGTTAGTTTCCCCCTCTTTTACTGTATTGAGAAATCAATGTTAACCATATTAACATTAGTGCTTATTAGCGCTGTCTGAGTTAATAGTTCCGGCAGTCCCCTGGTAAGAAAGATGGCTTATATACTATGCATAGTTATGAAGCCGCCCTGTACAAACTGTAGTATTCCAAATTCAAATACAGTGGCTTGTAATAGCAAAGGCACACCACTTTGCAATGGCCAATTCTCATTGTTACGGTCACTATTGGATTACTATAGAGCCCTGGTGACATCGTGGGTTATGTGTTAGGTTATGTGCTTACCCAAGGTCAGCAATTTGAAACCAC